GTGGCACCCATGCGCCGGAGGATCTTGTCCAGGTCCGACTTCGTCAGTCCACCTCGGTGGTCTGACTTCCACTGCTCCAGTTGGTCGGTGGATTTGGATGGTGGCGATGTTAGTGTTGAGCAACATGATCATGACGGTAGTCGAAAGCTTCCGGAAAGGACTAGTGACCTAGCGCATAGTCATCGGAACTATCCTCACTTGTGTCGGACATGTCCGATCATAACATGGGAATGTGAGGCTCTGTTTTGCGTATCACCTTGGTGTTTGAAAGTAACATAAAGTGACACACATCAAAAACACTTTGCTTGACCAATCGTGAGATGCTTTGCCCCTTCCTTTCGGTGGTGTGCTTGAAGATGCGGCGGTACTCCACAACCTCCTCTTGTTGCAGGTACCTTGGCAAACGCACGCTTTCAATAGCTGTATCTATGTGCGACTCATGCACTCATGCACTTGAACCCCAGTCTTCCATAGTCTTCCTTTCACTACTCAAGTCTTCAAGTTAGTTGTGGCAGCTTCACGACTTCACATGCGATGGAGCCAGCAAAGATGCTAAAGATGCGCCAATGCCAATGCATTGGCTTTTATCCATTTGACAAACATGGTGTGGCCAAGTCTGAGCCTTCATTCATAGAAACAAAGATGTGATTTGATTGAACACGTTGAAGTTTTAAGATACTAAAATAACGTGTCGATGTCATGCTTTTTGGACTTGTCTGAACCAAGGGGCTCTCGATAGTTGATGAGCTTGCCTTAGTTCGAATACTGTTGGAAGTTGCACCACTGACGGCAAACAAACACAAACTGAACGTTCGCCTCACAACACAAGCCTAGCCTAGCTGCAGATTGGAACCCATATAACAACATGTCCTTCACACTGACCAAAGGTCTTTGCAACTCTTGATTGAGTGACCCTCCATGGTGCCTTGGTCTACAAGACAGGGGCTCCCCTCAGCTAGAAAGAACTTCTTGAACCTTTGATTCAGTGAACATGTTCAAATTCAATTAAGGAACTTTGTTGAGTCATGGCAACCCGAAAAGCTGGATTAAGATACTGTGATATTCTATTACCGGAAACAACTTCAAAACTATTGAGCATTAAACTTTCTACACGCAACATGCGTGAAGGAACGTGTGTTGCATAACCGTGTTTCGATCCACATGCGTCTCTCGTTTTGTTTTTGTTCAGCGTATTTCAGGTTGGACTGAAAGAATCGTCTGCAGCCCAAGACACGTGCCTTGGTAAGCACTGCGAATCCAGCACAAAGCTGATGAAAGTTCAGAGTCCCATGGCACATAGGGTCAACCTGTGGAGCAAAGTTGCAAGTGAGAACAGTTGAACACTCCTACATCATTGGTGAAGCTAGCAAATCTAGATTATATTGTCTGACTCTGACTGATGTGACTTGGCAAAAACAAATCTCAACAAATCCGTTGGGAGGAGCAACAGGATTGGACACTGAGGCTTGCGATGTTTGGGGTCTTCATTGATCTGTCTGCTGTCTTCTACTCCTGCACGCGCACTGAGGAATCTAGATCATCACCATGCTGAAACAAGGCAGGAGCTACTAGTACCGTCCTTGTTCCGAGTAGCGATGCCCTTTGTTACTACAGTAGTAGCTTCTTGCTCCTGGTAGTAATGCCAGGAGCTACTAATCACGGAGGAACCTACTCCTGGCTGACCTGGCGCTCCCGCTGCTCTCCCGCTCAGAATCCGCTGCCTCCGCGACCACCTCCTCATAATCCGTGCGTGTGGCTCGCTTCTCAACCGGTGTCTTCTCAGTCCAGGGTGCCAGGCTTTCCACAATGGAGCAAAAGCTCTCCAAACCAATCAAGCCTGGAGAGCTTAGATTCCTAGCTCTTGCTGGATCAAAGCATACGGAGAACGCACATGACATGACAAATCAAAGCTTCCAGGCTCGTTTTTCCTGAATTGTAGTCCTCCCCCTACAAACTCAGCATCTGTCTCATATGTGGGAGCTGAATACTGAGGTGTTTGCATTCAATTTGGATTCTTTTGCTTCGCCCACCTGTGTTCTTCTGATCATACCGAAGGAAAATACTTTCCAGTTTGGCCACCTGCCGCTCGGTGAGATACTCCCGGTAGTCCTTACAAAGGACAACCAAAACGGGGCATAGACTTGACACAAGAGCAACCAATACAGTCACAGTTGGTGAGGCATCTGATATTCCCCCCCAAAAGTTGCATCTTGGATCTTAACATCTCAAAGCTTCCCCAAATTCCGTGTCATGTGATGAGATCTGGAAAGAAAACACACATCAGTAACTTGACCGAACAAAAGCGTCGCCAACGTGTTCAGAACTGAACAAAGGGTTCCCTCGAAAAAAAGGGTTCCCTATCATAACTCCAGTCCCACACCAAGAAGCGATTAAGTCCGCTCGTGGGCGAGCGCCACTCATTTTGATTTCCAGGATGCACAGCTCTTCGAAATCGATGGTGCCATTTCCGTCCTGAACTGTTTGACTGATCAGGGGCTTCTCCACAAAAACCATCATGAGCCTTACAAGACATGTGCTGATTGTACACTTAGTGTAATTCACAGCCTATGCAAACCATACTGCGTGTGCCAGTGACCAGTCAAGTTGAACAACCATTGCTCAAGACTTGGTTGTTGTATGTCCGTTGTAGCAAAAGCCAATATCAAGAGCAAACCACAAATGAGCTGGGCGAGGCAGCAAGTTCACCAAGACACAGCAAAGCTCAAGGTCTGTCGTGCTTGGAAGATGTCTGTCGTTTTCAAGAACTGAGTTCTCGAGGATGGCCTCGAACGATTTGTGACAAGCTTCCGTATCGATTTCTGCCAGAAGAGATTGAAGGTGAGTCCTGCTGACCTTCTTGCCGATGGCTTTGAACCTGAGTTGTGCTTTGCTCGTGCGTTTCAAGTTCAGTATGAAGTTTCTTCCACCCTTCATGTATTTATATAAATTTATATAATATATATATATATATATGTTATATTAGACACACATTAACAAATAACCATTGATAATTACATTCTAAATCATTCTAACAATGCTTAAACATGTGATGAGAAGAGTTTGCGCCATTTGTGCCAACCTAATGTCCCGCAGCGACATGTCAACAAACTGATCCATTGGGCCAACAAATCGACACCAACAAAGCCAACACCCCTTTACTGGGCCCCTGAGCTTGCACACGAGAGCCCACAGGTCGAGAGGAACTTGTTGCCGCGTGACATCTGATACAATTCTTTGATGGAGATGACCCCATCCCCGCTCATATCATATTGTTCATGAGCTCGGCGCAGCTCTTGAATCGTCTCAGGCAAAAAGTACTCCCGGTAGTCCTTGGGAGGTTCGGTGGTCCAAAACAAAGCATGCTGTGTAAACGCAGCGAGACCAATATTCTGAAACCCACATAAACCAACAATGTATAACGGGAGTTGAACCTCCTGTAAACTAGCCTCTTCACTTGTACTTGGAACCAGTCCCTCAGCAGGGAGAGTAAGCCTCTGAATAATTACATGTTTTATCATGTTTTGCTGAATGAAGATTTGCGTTGTTCGCAGGATTCAGCGATCAAAAGGATTCATTCTTTTGTTTTCAGTCACAACATGCTCCCAAAGCTGCATGACTGTACGATACAAACGATACAATCTTGTTTGCTTCTTGAGCACGTCCAACCGTGCTACGGACCCAGTTGGGTGCTTCGAGCCCTTCTGTTCTGCCATGTATCAATGTCCACGGCCATCTCATCTCATGGCCACAGCAGGCACACCACAATGCAGCGCTGGGCACATGTGGAATGTCAAGAAAAGCTTCCCATAGACCCAACAAAGGACTATGTGTAATTTTATGGACATTGCTTCCTCAATTGGGTTGCGGGTGGACGGTCGACGGCTTTGGAAACGAAAGTGAACTGTTGGCAAGAACTCGCTGTTGTTGTTGTTGTTGCTGTTGGAATATTTCTGATGACTCTTGGTAATTGTGCCACTTGTCTACAAGACTGAAAGGGCAGTCTTTACGGGATCCCCCCACTGTGCGAGGAGCTTTGTTAGCCGCTCCTTTTGGCCGCTGTCCCTTGGGACCACGGCAAGCGGCAATGGCCACGCTGAAACCAAACGCCGGCATGGTTTCCAGCACTCGCGATGGCAGTATAGAAAGGAAATGACAGGAATATATATTATATAATACGAGGGACAACCATGCAAATGACTTGACGGTTCTTTTATCCTGAAAACTTGGGTACTGTAGTCGGTTCAGTCACCACACACATCTTCAGGCAAGGCCCCAGTCAGAGTATGAACCCCATATGTTGTGACCGGAGTGATAGTCATCTACAGCAAGTGTCAGTTATCTGAGTGATAGTGATGCGAGTGATGGGTCTGTGATGATGATCTCAATGATAGTGATCTGACCGATAGTGAGCGGAGGTGGGATAGCGAGACAAAAAGTAAAAACAATCGGAAGACAAAATGTATTCCAAACAAGGCAAGAACAATCAAAGCAAAGCCGTTTGTGACCTGGCTCAACGGACCCCTTCAACTTTTCCTGCTCCTAGTATCTCCTAGTTGTATAGAAGAATCTGCTTGGCAGATCCCAAAAAGAAAACACGCCTCCGATAAACTGATAAACTCCTAAAAAGACCTTGCCACAATTTCATCTGCGAAAACTGGCGTCTCCATTCTGTCAAATCGATCGGAGCGGGTGTCACAATTGAATCGATGAGCGGCTGCTGAGGATCCTTTCAGGCAGTACCGTGTTTCACAGTCCGCACAAGATTGTCTCTGATTGGTCTTGAGCAGAAGACCTTGGCCTTTTATTTGTGCTTGTCTGGGCACAAATGGAGCTCAGAAACCTACTTTGTCGGCCCATTACATCTTTTGTAGGAGACCTTCCACTCTGCTTTGGCACCGGCCACACTCTTGCGACTCAAGAAGTATTTTTCTGTGCTCCAGTGATTGGAGCACCTGCTTGGAGCACCTGCACGTGCATCCAAACTCATCCAAACGCCACGCTTAGAAATTCTCGTGGAGTCGCTCTTGTGCCCGGCAAACGATCCACTCGGCCAGTCTCCTGCGTCCGGGCCAGTCTCCGGCGGATCCACCGCTTTTGAAGGACCAAAAAAGGCCGGCACGACTTCTCAACATGGTGGACTCAAGTGGGTCTGGATGAAATGCAATCATGACGCAAACGATTCCTTTCAACATGATGTGTGGGAGGCTACCTTTTGAATCCTTTTGACTCACTGAAGAGTGAGTCCGTAGGAGAACGCAACTTTCCCGACGAGCATGAAGTGCGAGTCCAAGTGTGAGTGTGTGTGGTCGCCTGATCGATAGTATTAAAGGCTCCATTTCTTTTGCTATAGGAATCAAATCTCACGCACTCTCACGCATGTCGCATGGCCCGATCGATGACCTGCGTTTCGCGGACCGGGGAAGACTGGCTTCGAGACGAGTCTCCGCTCCTTGGAGAGAAGTCGCAGGCATGGAGCTTGGGGAAGCGAAGGACCAAATGGATCTGAGAGATCGGAGAAGCAAAAGGCATGGACGGCGACGGCGGACCACGATCTAGCATCTTGAAGTTGTCTTGAGGATCTAGGATGATCGGATGGATCAGGGATGGATCAGGGATGGATCTCATGAGAATGTCTTTCAACATCTTTCAAACAATCTCGGTCCAGGGCTGTCAGGGTGTCAGGGTTTCGTGCAGCTGATTCCATGACCCCTCTTTTCCGCTCAAAACGTACTGCACTGCCGGTCCATGTGGCCTTGGTGGAGATGTCAATGTCTGCAATGGAGATGAACCCCTCAAAGAGACACGGTAAATCCCGACGCTCCCTGGCGATTCTGGCGGAAAAGCAAAAAAACAGAACATCGGAGAAGCAAAAAAGAATAGGCGTGATTAAAGTTCGATGTCAAATGCTGTAGGCTTGTATAGACCCGCCCTAAGTCGTCCTACAACTGCTTTGCATCGAATCCATGTGGAGACTAATCAGTGAGCATGGTGACCTTGAGCGGATTTTGTATCATCATTGTAATGCCCTTTGTTCCTAGTAGCTTCTTTGCTCCTAGTAGTAAGGCCAGGAGCCCCTAGTAGCGTCCGATCGCTCCTAGTAAGGACATAAACCCACCAAGTCCACGCCTGAGCCTTTGAATGTGCCCATTGTTGAACACCAAGTCCAAGTGAATATCGCCGTAGGCGTCCTGCGGTACCACATCACACCCAACCTTTTGCATCCCCTTGCAATATCCTGAGTTTATTGCAGCTGTTTTCTACCTTGGCAGAGTCCTCCAGAAAAATCACATACAAAAGAAAACGCGCAACACATCTGAGGGGAGCCGGGGCGAGGGGTGTTGCGGATTCCAGGTCATTCCAGAAAATTCCAGGTCCGGTGATTCCCTTTTGTCGTTGAGCCGCTTGAGCCGCTCCTGGATGTTCTTGGACAGGCCATTCTCCAAGGTCTCATGCATCATCTTGACCTGCATGGCCGTCCAATCCCGGGCAAACAGAATTGAGGTGGCTGTGCACAAATCAGTTTCTCTTTTGGATGGTCACTGATCAATCTCAAACAACCTACTGAAAAATAGGCCCGATCAACAAAGCATGGGCAAGTTATGATACAGCTGATCCTGACCCATGACCTCTTGCGAGCCATCCATCCAGTTTTGCCCGACTCATTGCGGCTGTTAGGGAACAGCTGCTCAGTCCGGCCTCTTTGGGCGATCGAAAGTCCTGGCCATTTGAAAGTGTATCATGAGGAGACAGGGACGAGGAGACATCCCTCCAGCTGTTCCAAGTTTTCGAAGGGGGCTGGGTGGGTCAAGGAAGGGCTCTCCAGTTTTTTCCACAAGCCCGTGTTGGAGACGTTGGGGACGGTCTATCCCTGAAAGATGCAAGACGTTTCAGAGTGGCAGGTCCTCATGTTGGGAAACAAATCTCCCTAATGTGAATGGACCAGTGAGCATGTGTTGGTGTCAGAGTTGCAGTTGATTCCGGAGCACCTAGGTGGCAAGGCGGAACACAAGGAAAGCATAAGTCACTAGTCGTTCTCTCTTCCAAATGCCAAAAGCAACACTGTACTTGGTTTACCTCTGGGCTTTCAGCATCCAACTACTGAACAACCACGATTAACCACCCGCACCACCCTTTTCACGACCTTCTCGGGACGTCCTGTGAAAGGGCTTGTGCCTTGTGATCAACGAACGTTCCAAGCTGGAACCCCAGCTGCGGCTCCAGGGTATCCAGTTCCTTGAGGATTCCACATGGCACCCCAATCGATAGAGGTCCAATCAAACCCCCCCAGCTCCTGGGGCTGGTGCTGGAGCTCCTTCCGGTGCGGCTCCTGCTCCAGCCCCTTGAGGATTGAACATGGCGCCCCAGTCGATGGACCCCCAATCAAAAGTCGACCAATCCATCTTTGACCAGTCCATGTTTGCGATGTCGGGGCTGGCGGCTGGAGCAGGAGCTGCAGCTGTAGGTGCTGCTGTAGCCGGAGCTGCAGCTGTAGGTGCTGCTGTAGCCGGAGCTGCAGCTGTAGGTGCTGCTGTAGCTGGAGCCATTGGCATGGGAGCAGGAGCCATGGGTGCAGGAGCTTGAGCGCTTGGTGATGCTGGTGGTGGATGTCCGGAGGGTGCCGTATGACTGGGTGGTCCTCTGGGCCATTGCATGCACATCTCAGCTTTCTTGTTCCACTCGAAGCCATCGAAGCATAAACACTTGCGCTTCTCACAGGACATAGGACCTGACCTCAAGGTAGGGCAATCAGAATTACGATTGCACTTGAGCTCAGTGTCTCGAAGTCTTAGGCGAGTATGCTTCTGCCATTTGAAGCCCCTCTTCAAGTGCACTGGATCGATTTGGCATTTGCCATCTTGAGCACACAATTCACCTCGGCACATGCACCTGCCATCTTTGGAGCACACACCTCGATAGGGAGGACACTCACCGTGCCCATTGCCGCATTTGTGCCCTGTATCTTGCTTGCACATACGGGTTGCTGGGCCGTTGTACAACCAAAACATGCAACGACCCTGGAGCTCACACTGACCATGCGGACACATGCACTGTTTGGAATGTGGATCGCATACACCTTTATTGTTGGGGCATGAACCATGCTTGCAACTGATCTTCACATCCTTGGCGCAATACTCACGGGGTCGGTTCTCTGCTTCCTCCATTTGCTCTGTCTTGTTGGCTCTCAGCTGCAGCGCGTTCAAGGCACAGTCAGGGCTCTCACACACATCCTCAGGCAGCCACTCGGCTGTGGCCAGCGCGGCCAGTGCCAGAGCCAGCATGGTGAGCGCCATGGTAGCACGCAAGGTGCACAAAAGAAGCACTATGTCACTATGTCACACTACTGCATGGAACCGAAGCAAAAGCTGCGGTTGTATGTGGTGACTCAAGTTGTTCCTGGTTCCCTAAAAACGTCGGCTTGAACTCTTCGCAATGGCATCAGTCCGGGATCGTGCCTCACTGGGAAGAAGACGCTGTGCGAAAAGACGCGGCCGTCCATCTTGTGTCTCCTAGAATGGGGCAGCGATGCAAACCCAAGGTTTACGAAGCCAAAGAACCAGCCACAAGCAAGAATGGACCATATCTAGATCAACAAACTCAGCAAGAACACACACAGAAAACAGATTTTGGCACCTTTGGACAGTGGGTCGGTGGGTCCTCCAAATGGCCAAGCAAATGCATCGAAGGCAAATCATCATGTGCTGCTTGCAAAGCATTGCCTCGATCCTTAGTCATGCCGTCGTGATAGGAGGTGCCCGAGTCTCTGGCCCACTTACTTGGACGGTCTCAAGTTCTACCCGCTCAATTCTACTCATATACATTCATATACTGTATAAAAAACATATATAAAAATATTATATAATACTTGAGAGGAGGGAGACACGAAAGGTAGGACAGCGGGAAGAGAAGAGAACGCGAGAGGCAGGAACAAAAAAATGCAATGTTCGACATGGTGATTTATCCCCTCGGAGGTGACCTTCCGTAAATATAATGTCATATGCACTCTAAATGTTCAAACATATGCTCTCGAAATGTTCAAACATATTCCTAGGAAAACAAACTTGCCCCATGGCTCAGATCATCGGTGAGCATTGAATCGGAGCATCATAGGATTTGAACTATCCTGAAACCATAAGAGGCTCACGAAGACGTTCCCCAGGAGAGAATTGACGCGCCCACAAAACAAACTCTAGGTATGTATCCCCTCGGGGAACACCTTTCGTGATTAGAATTTCATATGCACTCTTTCTGAATGTTCAAGAGGGTTCCAACTATCCTGCTCACGAAGACGTTCTCCAGGAGAGAATTGAATTTAGAGGGGGGGGGGTCGGTATTGAAAAATCAATTCCCCGGGGGGGGGGGGGGGGGTCTGTATTGAGAAATCAATTCGAAGGGGGGGGGTTGAATTGAACTATCAATTATTAGACCCGGACGCGCCGACACTTGCTTCGCAAGACAAACTCTAGGTATCCCCTTAGGGGCTACCTTTCGTGATATAATACCTACAAATATGATACTCTGAGATGGTTGAGACTCCACGCTGGCGTCCTCTAAGCTCCTTACCACATGCACCAGGAAGTAGATTTCACCCACTGGCACCCTTGGCAGTGCGACTCGAGAACGACGAGAACGAGAACGACGATTCGGGTAGCTCGCCCCGAGACTGTCTCGACCAAAACCGTGTCACCCGGCTGGCTTCACGAGTTGCCGGAAATGCCCCGAACGCTTGGCTGGAGATCAAAGCTGCAATATGATTCAATATGAAAGCATGGATTCGATTCAATCTTTCTCCCCAGCCACTTTGACTCTTGTCAACGCTCCGTGTTCGTTCCATCGAACTTGCAGAAAAAACCCGTCGCAGGCCCCAATCATCACCTGTGCGCTCCCCTGTTCCACAGTCGGTGCCTGAACTTGCAGGGAGTGATGATGGTGATGCCATGGAGTTGTGCTTCGATCTTCACATTCACAAACCTGGCATCGTCTCTATTCGCACATCCCAGGACTGCTTGGGCCACATGGGCAAGAGTGATCCCCCGATGACGATAGCCCAGTGATGAGGCGAAAGAACTGGTATAGACCACAAGGTGTTATATGATATATGATGGATGGATCATGATGGTGCTATTTGTTTCGGCAAGTCTAGTAAAGGACTTGCCAAAATGAATCTAATGAATCCAATGCTTTGCCTCATGCTCTGACCAAACAGCGCTTGACTTCCAAGCAACCAACTGAAGTACTTGTCTATTGAATTTAATATTGAGTCTGCTGAACACTCTTTGGCTCCAGTTCCAACCATATCTGGCGCAGGGAATGTGATAACACGTTGGATCGGCCCGTACTTCTCCATCATTCCATCGTCGAGGGAGCGGACAATGGCAGGACACTTCCCAGATGTGTGCACGAAGTACCTGCGAGTGGATCGGACTTGGCGATCCCCAAATGGATTTGGATCGCCAATTGCTTTCAGCACGTCTCACCTGTGTGCTCATCTCGTTGGACAAACATATTCACTTCTTAGTGGACACACCTGTATGCAAACGTCTCTCCATTGGATACTGGACACAACCACCATCTTCTTCAGACTTCAATTTAATATCAAGGTATATAAAGATGTTGTCAATGGCACATCTAGAGCCTTCATGACCCTTCCATATTCTTTCCCAGTTGCGTTGCCGCACCATTTTTTGCAGCTACACAGCACGAGCAAGGCCCTCAGCAGAAATTCCAACTGAGCTGTCTTTCGGCCAAATCCGTTTCCAATTCTTCTTGTAAGTGCAGCCCTTCTTTCGCCGAATCAAGCCAGATTTGAAGGATTCAGGCGCATAGGGTGATGGCTTGCCAAAGGCTAAATGCCAGGTGATAAAGTCATCTCGAAAGTGCTCCTGCAAAACCGAGGCAAAAGCAAGCTTGGAGTGCCAACACTGAACGACACATAATATATATATAATATATATATATATTTACACACACATATATATATATGTATGACTTTATGGTTATGCATGTTCATAATTGTATGTATATAAATATATGTATATCAAGAGAGCACTTCGTGTGAAACATGCAGGTAACATATACATTTGTTGTTTGGTTTCAGTTTTTCAATCTGTTTTCCTGCAGCCAGCTATAATTATCCCGGCAAGAGACCCCAAACAAGAGACCCCAAACATTGTGTGTGTGAGGTCTGTAAGCAGAAAGTCTAGAGATCTAGACGCATTGGGGTCCAGAGAGGTGATGGTGGGTGTGAGTGTGAGGAGTGTGAATGCGAGTGGGAGTGGGAGAGTGAGTGAGTGTGCGTCTGAGTGCGCGTGTGAGTGAGCGTGAGAGTGAGTGTGAGCGAGAGTGAGTGTGGATGAGAGTGAGTGTGAGTGAGAGTGAGAGTGACAGAGTGAGAGAGTGAGTCTCTGAGAGCACAAAGCGCTGCGCCTGCGCCAACATCTGCACTTCCGTTCACAAAGTGCTGCACCTGCCACGAAATCTGCACTTCGAGGTGCGCCACGTACTGTGCCTGCCACGAATTCTGCACTTGGAGGTTCACCAAGTGCTGTACCTGCCACGAAATCTGCACTTCGAATTTCACAAAGTGCTGTGCCTGCCACGAAATCTGCACTTCGAGGTTCACCAAGCGCTGCGCCTGCCACGAAATCTGCACTTCGAGGTTCACAAAGTGCTGCACCTGCCACAAAATCTGCACTTCGAGGTTCACAAAGTGCTGCACCTGCCAGGAAATCTGAGCCCCTCGACGACCACCACCATGTCCAAAGTGCTGCACCTGCCACGAAAACTGCATGTCGAAGTATAACAGCTCGGATCCCTTGCGCCTCTCATGAAGGCTAAATGGAGGGTGTGGAGAAAGGGGGTCAGCAAAAGTCGCTTGTACGAAGTTAGTGCATCAAAAATACCTTCCACGAAGTTCTGCGAAGGTTTCTGGGATTTCGTTGCAGTCAGTTCTCCTACTGGCCCACCATTCCACGAACTGTCCACGAATAGCCTTGGGTTCTACGAATGTCCCGCGCCTTCCACGATGTTAGTAGAATTGGTTTTTGCAAACCCCTTTCTGTGCACTACCCTTCCGTTTGCCTTTGATCTCACGAAAAGTCGACTTTGGAGCACCAAAACATGAGCGCCTGCCACGAAAAGTCACCACCATGTGCGCAAATGCGCGCGGCACAGCGGGAGCGCAGTCGTTAGAAGCACCCGCCGCAAACACCCAGATTTGGCGAGCATGCGCAGTCGAAATGCACTTCGAGGATTTTGAGAGCATGAATGTACTGTAACGAATTAGCCGCACACGCCCGCGGCACAGCGATCTAAGCACAGCTGCTTTTCTATTACCGTAAAAACATTGGTCAGTCAATTCAACATGCTTCAACATTCGTCGCCACAAGAGTCATATGCTCAGCAGCATCACAACTACAGGACGCCCGACATTCGGCCATCCGCATCCTGGATCGCTGCCAAATTCCAAGCATCCAAGCATGAACAGGTCACATTGCTGCGCTGGGCCAAATCATCTGCATTCAACCTAGCAACATCAAAACAGCCAGAATGACTTTTGTACAATACGCGACGTGTTCCAAAAGCTCGCAGTGTGCCTTGCACAGTATGGCATCGTTGAGGTATACTACTTATCATCCGAAGGGTCTAGTAGAAGTCCTTAGGAGCAGCCTGTCTTAACACACCGCATGGAGCAACTTGCGACGCTTCGCTCAAACACAACTCGGCCGGCCGTGGCCTGGGTAAATTGAGGCTATGGAACTCGGGGCTCAATGCTCTCAAACGCTTTTGCAGATCTTGGTCCAGGGGCAGCACTTCATCCACTTTCCTGAGAAATTGATGGTGCGCTCGAGGGAAAATAAGGTGGATACATGTAGATTGAGGAGCAAGTGTTTTGGCAATCCGAAGTAGTTGGAGTTATCAGATTTATCAGCATACAGTTACATATTATATAAATTGTTGAATTATGTATAATTATGTTGAATTTGTAAAACTTCAACAACATGGCCTTCTCGCTCATCACAACATTTTGTTTGAAGTACGAGTAACAGCCACAAAGCCCTGGACTCTGGACGAACACTTGGAGGCTTTGTTCTCACAATGTTCATCGAGCGTCGACAAATAACACCACTGAGGAATCATATGGCAGTCTTCCACATCAGAGGATTGCTGATACCGCGCTAGCACTGCCCGCACCCATGAGTTGAACATCGAGCAGGTTGGAGGAAATTCCTTGATCACCCCGTAGTCCCTGCGGCCATCGTTGCAGCGTGGCCCCGAACAGAATCATTTGACATCATTCGACATTTACAGCTGCACAGCTCTGTTGCTGTGTATGGAGAGCTTCGGTTTTATTGAGAACTGTGCATATTTGCTTCGGGTTTCATTCGACCGTATTACCGGTGGAGTTGAGTTGATTGCACAGCTCTTAAGACACCGAAGCTTTTCCAACCCGAAGCCGCTCCTCTTTTTCATCTCCACCGGGCCTGTAGTAAATGTCAAACCAAGCCAGTTTCTGAGCCCAAGTGAATTCAGAGGCCAAGCGTGAGCAGGGCTCTCGGATCACGGCAAAACTCCGCTGCACGTGCTCCTGCGTCTTTTCCGTCGAACCCGCTCAATCAAGGCAACAAGAAACTGTCTCTTCCCTTGAGAAGCCCAGGGACCTTGGGAAATTGCACGTGTGGCAAGCACATGTCTCGCCAGCGAGATATGTCACATTGTCTTCAAACAAGCGCAACTTGCGTGCAATGTCCTTGCGACCGATACAACCACTTTCATCCATTTTCCAAGCTTTGTGTTTTGCCCCCGTGTACTGTAAACATTTTCGACAAGGGCTTGACTCGAACTTGAATTTGCAAATCATTGATCACCGTCGAACAAATCCTTGATGATCAACACTCAAACATGTACAATGGGGCGAGGTACACTGACACGAATGACTGAAGATTGCCTATTCAATTAATTGATATTAATTGGTGTTTGTTCAAGGCAAACTGCAGTCTCAATCAGCAACCGCGCGCACACTTATCATTGCAACAAACCTCGAACAAACCCATGCAGCGACAAGAGAATCAGGTTGGGTCGCATTCCGCGTCTAGATTCCTCAAGTAGGGATATCAAAACAACGTTTGACCAGTTTGTTGCACTTTGCAGACCTTGTTGTTTCTTGCGTCGAGACTTACTCACGGAGTCAGGACAAAGAACGGCCCAATCATCGGTCCTTTGGAGGGTTGTGCTTCAAACAGGAGAAGGGCACCTGCGGCAGCCAAAGTCTTGAAACAAATCATACAATTTATATATTGATGGATGTGCATCACCTCTGAACAAAGTGGGTTTCATTAGGGAACCCCCCTGTTGAGGGGAACACATCCATATAAGGAGCTGTGCATCACCTATATAGTGAACAGTGAACCATAGGAAACTCGCAAGTGGTTTTATGGAATTCCCTGCGTGGAGTTGCCTGTGGCTCCCCATTCTCTATTTTTGGGGATAAACTTTCTGGGATACCTTGCCTCCAAATCGTTCCCTCCTAGTACACACGGTCTCAGTAGAACCCCATGGATTGCCGGTCTATTTCTTTCAATCTGAGGCTTGCACATGAGTTTCCAAAAAAAATGTCACCAACTTGCACTTGGAAACTTGAACTCGCTAGTCCTTTTTCTGGCTATAGGCTATATCAACCAACATCAACATCTTTTGTTTGCAAATGATAAATGCAACCATTTCCCACCTCGGGGTATCGGTTGGAGTCTGAATACGATGGACCAAGAGCTGCCCAAATTGACGTTCCTGCTGTCTTGGGTATATGGACAAATAACGGCAATGTCTCCTGCGCCGATGTATTCTCTCTGCGAAGCAAGCTGGAATTCTTGGTCTCATTCACATGACCTTGGTTGCCGGGGCTCAAGTTGACTTGTAAAACATAAAAATGTTGTTCCGGCGATGTGCCACGGGTTGATGCACTGAGCTTCATCTTTGAGTGGGCAACAGTGCAATGCAACTAGCACTGTAGCACCCAGCTAGGGATCCAAAGCAATTGGATGCTTTGAGTTCCCCTTTGTTTTCCCCCTGCAAGCAGGTTCTTTATATACATCTCAATACAAGTCACAAACAGGTTCCTGATGTTCCTCTTTCCAATGGTGTGAACAGAAAAAGGAGAACTTGGGACTATTGGAATCCGCCCGGTTACGCCGAAAGGGGGCTGATACACTAGCTCCCAAAGCAAGGAGGCATTCCAGCGCACACTTTTGCTAGCTCACAAGCTCAGCTGCCACCAGCTGGCCCTAGCGGAGCCTTCAAGGCTCCGTTGCCCAGAGCAACTGGTCGCCATTGGTCATTGGCCAAGTGTCTCGTGCCAGCAGTGTCCGCCTCGTTCGGCTGCCAAGCGCAGGGCTTGCCGTGGTGAAGCTGTGCGAAATCTGGCCACCTGGTCCAAGAGCCAAGAGACTTTGTCGCAAGATTGGCAACAACTTTTGAGGGCCGCCACAACTTCGGCTTCATGCGGATGTTGTGGGCGGTGCTTCAAGCCTGTGACAAAGACCTTTGACAAAGACCTTTGCTCCCGCGTTGTAGAGAGTCTTGCTTTTTGTTCATGTCTCTCATAACCTGTCGGTGTGACCACACAGCGCGCTTAGTCATCAGTGTGAAGGCTTGCTGAAAGTTGCACGTTACCTCCCAGAAAAAAAACATCATGTGCCACCGGAGGCTGCCAACAATCAAATGAACGCCGCTGCGAAAACGGGCAGCTGATGTCCTCGGTCAACAGGTGGAAGGCGCCCAGTTGCAAGCACAAAGCTCACCATCAGTTCAAGTGAGGAAACACTAGGCAGCTCTTTGAGATCACTGAGTCCAAAGAAGCAGGAGCCTCCCAAATCGTCCCCCACACAAGTACCACTTGAGAATATCATGCGTGACCCTCCGAAGAGGCAGTGGACGCGCAACTTCATATGCTGCAGGCCGGACATAAGGCGAATAGGTGGCACCCCACATACCATTGGTTTGTGATTTGTGGACCTGGCCCGGCCCTGGTCCAATTCTTCCTGGAGCTGCACACCTGTATTGCCAAACATGGCTTAGCATGGTTTCCCCTTTTTTAATTCGCCATATGAGTTCGCATAAACTGGAAGCAACTTATGCAACCACTTTGCTGCCCTTAGCTTGGTCAGCCGCATTATTTCCACAAATGGCTTCCAATTCTCTATGCCTAGTGGCACCCAATGTTGTTTGGTGTGTTTTAATCGACTTTTCGATATGTTGACCTGCCTGCCTGGACATCACGAAACATTGCGAGAATACAGTCAACATGTGCTGGTTTAGCCAGAGACCGTGGATCCTCAACTTCCTTCATTGCACCAGAACAAGGCCGCAGCCATTCCAGGGAGTGCATGCAGACTGACATAGAAGCCGTGCGCACCTTCTTTTGCACTTCTAGAAGCTGCAGCAAAGGGTCCAACAAAGCACTGCGTTTCTGCTTCAAAAGTGTCTTGTGTGCAAATTGGGCCTGCACTGCAAAGCCTTGAAGATACTGCAATACAACTCAAGCCCAATGGCATCATCAGCAAAGGGGCATAAGAAAGCCGCACGATCCTCACCGTCTAAGCAGAGAGAGCAAACCAGCTCAGGGCCCAAAAGTTCAGCACCGGAGTCACACCGCCGTAAAGGGCGAGGCAGTTGAAGCCACTTGCCCTCTGGAGACGTAGCAATCTCACACGGCTCCTCCCCAAGCTAGCCGCTTTGTCAGCCGGTAACCAAGGCCAGCATCCACAAACAAGAAGAAACACGACACGTGTGTGCAAACAAATAGCCTGCATAATGCTAGCACTCGGAAACACCAGGAGAAAGAAACTCAGCTCCCTTAACCGGGCAAACATGAGCAAACAGCAAAGCAAACACAAAGAAAAGCCAACTAAGGCTATGCGCGAAATAATGCGAAATAGTACATAAACCAGCTAGCATCAGCTAGCATCAGCTTCTTCTGCCGAGGGACGTTTCGCAGTGATGCTCGAAGCCTCAAGGTTGAAAATCCAACCTCAGGAGTGAAACCATGTGAAACCGTTTGACCACATAGGCGTGTTTTGCACTTTTTTTTGACCAGAAAGGGAGAGCATGAAATCCTGTGGAGGAAGGCCATGTGTGCGCCGTAGGCTTAATATGTACCACAGGTATCACGTCAGGATTTCGGAAAGACCTAACGACCATGTGCCAAGGCCAAGTGACAGGAGAGCAGGACCGCCCGAAACGCAGCGATCATCTTACGGCCTGAAGAAACCTCGAGGTTTCTCCACCGGCATGGGGCACGGAGTGAAACCTCCACGCATGCGTAAGCAAGAGCTTCCTTTTTTGGCAGTCCCGATACATTGTCAAGCCCTTGCTGACCCTTTGTTGATGTTTGTCATGTAATCAGAGTGTCTGCATTGGGCAATCTCTTCTGTTGTGAATTGGCCTAACTTAGCAACTGCAAAAAAAAACAGAATCAGCCGGCATCAACGGAAGTGTCTCCTCCGACCAGTGCAATCCAGTCATCACCCAAACACATGATTCAGCTACACACGGTCATGCCATCCGAAAAGCCTCCCCGAACTTCTATATCTTCCCATCTTCGCATCTTCATCTCTTCACATCTTATTCCAACTCTTCGCCCAGTTCCCGGCGCACCGCAAGAGGCCGGGATACACCTCGCGGGGCGCCTCCGTGGAGCTGGCGGAGAACCTGGCAGTTGGAGAGAAGGAAAAAGGCTCAAAGGACCAACTCCACCTGGAACCACGCAGGATCCGAGTGCCGACGGCATTCGTTCCATGTGCCGAAACCTGCCGACGTGCGGAGGCGTCCCATCTGCCAACGAGCAGCTTCAACTCGTAGTAGTGCCGAGGCAAGGGGAGCTTCACTCGGACCTGCCAGCGGTTTGGGGCCGCGGTTTGGGGCACATGTGTCTGGGGAAGAAATACGAGGAATTGTGGTAATCAAGAACCCAACATGATCAAATCCATGGCTTCTCCTGCATCATCAACTGAAAGAAGAAATCTGGGTTTTGTACAACGGTTGGACCATACAAAGATGATCAATGATGTGGGATGTAAAGGATGTGGGTATGTAAAACAAACAAACAAAACCCCAGAAAACAAACCATGTGGGATCGGAGAACCTTCCCTTTGGCTGTCAGATTCCAAACTTGATTCATGGATCTTTCTGGGATGTCATAAGCCACTGCCGTATCCCTCAGCTTGAAGCTGGCAAATAGCTAGTAGGTTGGAGGCCATTGCTAGTAGGTTGGATCTAGGTTGGAGGCCATCGCTAATAGAAACAAAAAAAACAGAAACGGAAGAAATGTCTAATATAGTTTTTTGGGACACAGGGGGATCCCTTCGTTTCCGATGCCCGCTGACTCACTGAGAGTTTAGCTCTTCTCCTCCCACAAGGCTGCTTATCACTGCTAGCTTTGCATCCAATTCCAACAATATGTCATGAACATTGCCATTCGTTTGTGAATACAATCAATGGAAGCAATGCAATTTGAACCATGCAGCAACTGTTACTCGTACACACCAATCTTTTTGGATCTTGGTTCATTGGAACTGTTCCCCAGCGCTGGGTGTCTACAAGCTCCACAACCCGCCTGATGTTAAACCCCTGTTGTTAAAGGTACGGTAGACTGAACCAACAGGGTCTTTGTCGCGATTCTGATAGTGGGAACTTGAACCCAATTGTTTTTAAAGAATACAAATATACACTCTGAGCTGCAAACCAAAAAGATGCGATCTCGCAGCTTGATGGTGTGACAAGCTCGCAAGACCTCAGGCCAAGGTCCAACAGCAAAGGCTGTCAGAATGGCTGCGGAGTTCCACCTGATTCCAACTGTCTTTGCCGCCCGAATGGGGTCCTATAATACCTACAGTATACCCTGCCACGTGTGACATGTCACATATACCCTGTGGCCCCCTACATATACCCTTGCTGCCTACAATATACTCCGTTCGTCACATCGGAAGATGAATCGCATTTCGTCGTCCGTTCCACTCAGCCTCCAGCCTCAGTGAACTCTCCATCAAACCTGTGGGTCTCTCAACTGAAGGGTCCAAGTCTGATTTTAGGTCAGAAGAGCCTGGTCGTGCTTTCTCTAGCCTTTTCCTGGCCATCTGTCGCTGAAGCCATGGACCTTTTTGGGTTGTTGTGTCATATTCAGTCTGGAAACTCGACATCTACCAACAGAGTTGTTTCATTTATGTTGTCAATCATCACGCATCGGGTGCTTTCAAGCACACTCATGTTACCCAAAGAGACTCAGCCTGGACGTCGCCCCCCCAGTGCTCCGGGCTCCGCCTCTTCACCATGAGCGTCCCCCAAATGGACGCCGCCGAAGAGCGCAAGGTCAGCACCAAGTCATTGCTGTCGCGCGGTCAGCGGTGCTGTCAAATCCGAGGATGCAAGGGCAGTGTGGGACTTCCAAACCCTCAAACCGCATCAGGACTTACAAGTATGAACAAATAGTGCAATTGCAAAGGTTGCTGAATTTCAAACTCTCAAGGGGAACAAACATCTCTTAGGTTGAGCATCATTCCTGCCTGGCCACGGAAATTTCCCGGCCCAAGTGAGACAAGGGCTCAATCTGCAGCTCCTTGCGTTGCCTCGAGGAGCGAGACATTTTGTGCAAGCACCAAGGGGGTTCTCTTCAAACCAATGTGGATCAACACCCGAAGACTCAGACTCTCCACTAGCTCTGGACTCAAAGCAAGGGAGATCAAGGAGTGTCAGTCATGCGCCATGCCTGTCCCTTTTTCAACCAAATAGGCCACGATGAGAGGACTCAGCTATCGTGGTAGCACGCGTTTGTCGCCTCCAATCTGAAACTTCACAGCTGCAAGGACTAGCACTCCACAGCTGTGACGTTGACGCGATGTGACACATCTGTAGAGCACTCAGCGCTGTGATTTGTCCTCTCGGCGCGTCTGGCAGCTGACTCGTTCAAGAGGAGCAGGAGCAAAGTCAAAAGAGAGGAGATGACCAAGCTGATGAGGCAGGAGCCAACCAGAATGCCGTTGCCCAACATCCAATAATTCAGCTCCACCTTCTCAGGATCGACTACCCATTGGACAAAGATGGGTCTCTTTGCAGTGGTTAACCTGTAGGCCGCTACTGCCTGCTTTACTGCCAGGATATGCTGCTGATTAGCTTGCAAAACGAGCCCAGCATGTGCTTTCTCATCCCAGGCATCGTCGCACTCAAAGGTGCCTCTGCTACAACAGTCAGTGCCTGCAGCCCAAAATTGGATTGGGCCGCCACTGGCGTCGATGACTGGAGCGACACAATAGGTCGTACCATCCTTGAAGCTCATGCCTCTGGCCACATCAAGATGGGCCTCCTCCGCAAATACCAGCTTTCCGGCATCCAAGTATCCGGCTGCTGGTTCAGAAGGCAACACGTTGGCATAGGCATGGCTATCATGGTACATCCAATATATTGAATAGAAAGTTCGGTAAGCAACCAACCCAAGGATACAAGAAACTAATACTCCGGCTATGCAAGAGACCGGCAAAACTAATTGCCACTGACGATCCCCAGGATAATGACGAATGTGCCACACGCATACAGCAAGCAAAGACAAAACGATGAGCCACACAGAGAGTGGCATGCCATGGTACGTTGACGCGAACAAGTAGCTCACAAGAACTCCAACCAGCCAAGGAAACAGCGTGAGCACTGCGAGCTCCACAATATTGAGTTTAGCCCAATAACCAAGCGCGTCTTCGTCACGCCATTGCTTCATTGCCGCCGAAATTCTATGGCTTCTCTTTGGAAGCCGCTTGAGATCGCTGAGAAAGTTGAAGTGGCAGTCCCGTTTCTTGCGCAAAGCCCGCTTCTTGTGGATCCAAACACTATGTCCCAGCCATGGAGGTTAGCACTCGTTTGGATCTCAGGAGCCGGCGAAACGGGGTCCTGGTTTCGGGCCCGGTTGGAAAAACCAAGCGAAGCAATCTGGACAAGCACCAGATGTAAAATTTGCTATATATATATATATATATAAGTAAACATACATACAAAATCATACGTACAAACAGGGTTTCTCTTTTTCTGAGTATTCATGAGCAGGTCAGGTACTGTTTCTCTTTACACTGATCCTTTAGTAGTCACCTTGTGCTCTGTCTTGTGCTCTTTGTCACTGGTCCGGAAATAGGACTGTACCAAAGAGCGAATCGTGATTGTTTCAAGAGCGTGAGGACTTTGCAGTCTGTTCGCAGGTTCAGGTCGCCCATGGCATGGCCGGGGGAGTAACCTGGTCCCTCGGTTCCCAGCTCAACGAACGATTGACACCACTCGGGCTTTCCCAACTCCAGTGAGTGAATCGCCTTCCTTCGGCCAACTGCATCATCACGAATCATTTGACAAATCTTTTTTGGGGGACCTTTGGTAGACTTGATCCATGTTCACCCTCGATGACATATGACTTCAGCGAAACAAGCTGAGCAACAGAGTATCGCGCGGCTCCTTTGGCAAAGGATTCCACAAAGGCTCAGCTTGAAAAAGTAATTCTCGAAAAGATTCAGCCTCATGCAATGCGTGCTTGGAGGGCTGTGCCCCTACGGTCTTCTCCTCTCAGGGAACAAACAATTCGCAGTGTCCCTTGTCTGCCAAAGCCACAGGGCCAAACAAACTGGTGAGTACCGGTAAGTAATATTCAAAGTGGATTGAAATTCAATATAGCTGGATTGCAAAAACATCTTGCAACTATCTCACATCTCTTCTTTCGGTCAACCTCGAACCACTGGTCATGGTGCCGGACTCCCCTGGGACCTTCGGAACAACGCCCGGCAAACATGGTTTGACCGACAGCACCCTGGAAAGGAAGCGGTGTCCATTTCGCATGCGACTCAGCGGCCTCTGCCACGAGCGCCTGGTCGTCCTTCCTGCAAGGACTGGCCGAAAGACTCCCCACAATAAAGGAATCCCACGAGCCCACTTGAATTTAGGATCTGCAGCCGAAGATGCTGCAAAACCACAAGACTAGACATTACAAAGAACAGCGGAACAGCTGGCTTTTTGCATCTTTTTGCAGGTCTCAAACTCGAAACGATCACTGTAGGTGCACAAAACATATGCCCTCCGCGCCAAAATAACGTTCTCTCTCCGGACCGAAATGCCTCCGGTTCCTTCACAGAACCTCCGCAATCGCGCCCAAACGGAACCGCCGTCGCTGCCGGCGCCCGCTCCGCGGAGCATCGCTGGACCGGTCGGTACTCCTGAGAGCCATGAACTCGTGGAAGACAAAGAGCTCCTCTTGATCTCCACGAAGCCCTGAGACATCCGCTCGGCGCGACTGCGCCTTTTTTTAAACGTACAACTCCGAGCGCTCGGGTGGGATGGGCTGGGGTTTTCCGATGTTATGCAATTGACTGTTTCGGGGTGGAGAGGCATGACACAGCGCTTTCTTGTGTGTTGAGCGCCCTTGGAGACAACTTTCCTGTATAATTAGTCAGTTACAAAAGATGTGCTTGCCAAGTGAGTGAGTTTCTATAGATAGATATAAATAGTCTTACTTTGGAAACTGACATGCTTCAAGTAGATAAGCCGATTCGCTGCCGTGATGCCCCAGGCCTGAGATCTGTACCTGGAGCGGCGAACGCACTGAACACTGCATGAAAACGGTTGCAACATCGCAGCAGTGAGGCTGCCCATCAGGCTTTTGGGGCAATTTGTGGACTGGTCAGCCTTTACATAGGTTGGCTTTGCTTTTGATTGATCAACTTCACAAAATGACAGGGATAGCATGGAATAGCTAGTGTTCTAGTCTGGATCTGCATTTAAGAACATAGTAGGAGGTTGAATGGTTGTGCTCTCTATGTAATAATATGTACGTCGAATATTGACGGGCGTTTTTGGTACACATGCAGCGTTAACATGTGTTAACATGTGTTAACCAAAGGGGGTCACTACCCTTCAAAAGGCATCTTAGCTGCTTTGGATCTGAAGTCCTAGCTTGTTGGCTTTGCAAGTGTGCGACTCAAGGTGTTCCTTCCAAATCATGTCGGAATGATGAAGATCCCATTGCTCTAGTAAGGCTGGCCAACCTCACATTTGATGATATCATTTGAGCAAATCAACTCTGAAGTCCAACCGTATCGTACGAGAACATTGAGTAAGTGACCCTCAAGCCTCCAAGATCGACACGACAAACAGAAGAGCACCCCTCACAGCTAATATAGGTGGTTCAATATGTCACTAGGTGGTTCTCTTCGTACACAGACTGGGCATGCCTTTGGGCCCTATATGGTATAGTATCGGGGAATGAATTTGTGTGCCAAAGACGAGTGAGATATCTTCTATCTGGGCTGTTGTGGGAGTTCTTCTAATGACAGTAGCAAGGAAAACACGTGAAACACCCATATTTTGTTATGCTTGAATTCAGGCCTCGAGTTGAAGTCCAGCTTCGATGTGTCCCAGATCTGGCCTAAGCGGAGACTTTGAGGAAACCCAAAGCTGCCCAGTATTGAATCTGATACAGCTATCGGACATGGATACTGTATCATACACCTAGAAACGTTATCAAAGACAGCTTTGATTGCAAACTTCTGGAGCATCATGGATCTTGCGTGCATCGGCTGCATCACTGCTCCGAGTGGCCAGAAAATCACGCAAAAGGATTCCCCGCTGCAGTCCACAGACATGTATTTCACGCGCACCTCTGAGGGCTGGGGTCATGGGAACAAACTTGCCATGATTGACTGATCACACATTGGACCACGTTGGTCAAGAACTATCGAGATTCAGCTGTCAATATCAATCATCACAGCTCCCGAACTGTCTATCAAATACTGCCAAATCCATTCATTGTTTGCGACAATTGTCATACACAAACTGCACAAATACATTGTAAATGAATCAGTTGTTGCTCCCATGCTATACCCTCATCACTCCGAGCCGATTTCTTCACCTCCTGCAAGCGTTCGGCATCAGCAAGCTGCTCGTTGCACCTGAAGAAACCAACATAGAAGGACTTGCATACTACATTCCAGAACCTTGATTCCTGAAAACATCAACCATCTTCAAAATACTTTACTTCGAGCTCTCCCCACCCAAGAGGCGATTGGGCACATGTATTGACAGACTTGTTATCCTGCTCTGACACATCAAACCTGTGTTGTGCAACGCATTATGACACATGCTCCGACTTGCTCTGACATGTGTTCCGTCACGCATTGTGACATTTGTTCTGGCGTCTGACAAGAAATTCTGACATTTGCTGATATATATTCCGGCATGTGCTCTGTCTGACAGGCCTTATGTTTTAGCAATTTGCTCTGATACGTGTATTGAAAAGTCCAGCGCGCACCACTCAGCAGCGAGAACTGCCAAAAGTCCACAGCGCACCACACCGAAGCCAGACTCGAAAATGCAGAAGAGGGCGGAGGCGGCGGCGGAGGAGGAGGAGGCGGGAATCCTGACATGGGGAAAAACACATAGCATATATATATATATTACATGTATGATGATGATGATGATGATGATGATGGTGGTGATGATGATGATGATGATGATGATGATGATGATGTATAAATGAACATTTGATCTTTTGACCACCCGTGAAATCCGAATTGGACTACAACAGCTACTCCCCTGCAAATTAACATGGAACCCCCAAACCACTGGGTTATAGAGGAAAATGGCCTTCCACCGGTCAATTCTCAGGTTCCATGTTAGTTTGCGGGAGGGTAAGTACCTCACTAGTAACACTGTAACTGTATCAATCAAGCTACTGTAAGTGTTGTAGAACAACTTCTTCCCATGATAGGCATATGGCAGATCCACTTGTCTGAATCCGCTCGAACCCACAACATGGCCAGTCCCTCCAATCCTCCCATTGAACACCATGGCCTTTCAATGTGCACGGTGAACACTCGCACCGTGGTCGAGGACCTGGCGAAACCCGCGGAGGGCGCCAGGTGTTTCTGCGACCCCTTCTGTTGCTGTCGTGCGTCCGGCCCCAAAAGGAAAACCCAAAAGGAGGCTAGGGCGTGTAGTATACTACCAGTTTTTGGCAGTATCACAACCAGTCCAGCATTGTAACATCAAAAACCCGTGTCAGATGCATCATAGCTTGGCACCGGACGTTGGCTGAAACCGCAAGGCATCTGGTATCACCTCACTACAGCTTCGCCACAACTAGGGACACTCTCCTCCAAAACCCTGCCGACATTCCGTGGCTCATTTGTTTCGGGGGAGAGCAACATGAGTAGTCTTTTGAGATTCTTCAACAACCTCCCATGCAGTGTGATCTCTCATGTTTAACCAGCTGCTCTAGTGCTTTGCGCAGTCCATTCTCCCTTTGTAACCTTTGTATGTATGCTTTCTTTTCACTGATCTGTGTCAAGGATCGTTGAAACGATTCCATGCTCTTGCCACCAGCACCTTTCTCCAGTCGATTAGAATGCTAGCAAACTGAGAAATTGCCGATTC